CCCCATAGGATATCCAAGGCTGGAAATCTTTAAGTGAGCAGACTGCTTCCTCTTTCTCCCACGGAATGGCTGGTGGGTTTGAACTGCCAACTTTTTAGGTTAGCAGCCAAATGCTTTATCCACTATGTCAGCACATTATAGCTATAGGTATGTTACAATTAGGGCTTTGTGGTCGGAGGAATGGAAACGATCTAAGTAAAGAAGGGGACAGGATGTAAAACTGAGGGTCTGGTGGGGGGAATTGGAAGCCAGGCAGAAGAAGGCCTGAATGAAAGTTGAGTGTGGAAGAACTTGGAAAAAAAAGAAGCAAATCTGAAGGATATCATGAATATTTCAACTAGAAGAACAAAAAACTATATTGATTGTCACAAAAGAAATTTATGAAATGGCATATCTTTTCTAATTTTCAGACAGCTCCTCATCCAAACCCAAACATGGTGTTTACCATGTAATCACATAATATCACCAGCTCTTTGCATTTGTAGTAAGACTTTTACATGCCCCTCTCATAGTTAAGCAGGACAATTCTCCTTAGCTGCACACTATTGCCAAAATTAGAACCCTGAAAAATATAGGGATTGAAAGATTTACAATATATATTCATTCCCTGCCCTAAGAAAATCAGGATCACATTTCAAAATTTATTGAAAGTTCTAGGAATCATCTTTATTTTCACTTCTGGTCAATTCTAACACTAACCTTTCCTCCACAGAGGTTTTACTTCTGAAAATGGACACATCTGCTCAACCCCATGCCTGGAATTATATTAGTGTTAAATCATCCATGCAATCTTTGGCATCCCTAATCCACAGGCTTATGAACTTTAAATGTACATAAATATTAAAGAGTTTTTACCTTACAGAAATCAGGTACAGCTAAAACTCTTAAAAAGACGGTAAAAGACTTTTCTATCACTGACACTGATTTTTCACAGATAGAGTATCATCACTCTTTAAATATAGGAAGGTCTGACAAAAAGTTTAGGGGTAAAAAAACCTGTTGTCATTGAGTTGATTCCAACTAATGGACCTTAAATAAAACCAGAAAACCAAACCCACTGCCAGTGAGTTGATTCCGACTCATAGCGACCCTATAAGGCAGAGTAGAACTGTTCTATAGGGTTTCCAAGACTGTGATATTTACAGCAGACTGCCACATCTTTCTCTTGCAGAGCAGCTGGCGTTTAGCACCAGAACACTTTAACCACTGCATCACCAGGTAATGTTTATTTTTATAACATTTATTATTAATTTAAGCTGTCCAGCTGTTACTTTTCACTGTATCCTCTACATTGAATTAGATATATTAGCTGCTTTGGGGGTGTTTATGTAAGCTCTTCTTCTTTCTGGATAATGCTGTTAGGTAAAAGAAATCTAATGTATGTATTCATAAGTTTCTAATGTATAAGAAACTCAGAATACCAACTGTCATCTTCTTTGTTCTTATTTTGTGTTCTTATTTTGGTATTAGCAATAACAATGCCTATGTAAATGAAGTCTATGAAGTTAGGAAAATGGGTAGGTAAGAGATGCCTCATCATCCTTGACCTAAATCATCTGGGTTTTAAACAGAATTCAAGTGTCACATAGTAAAATGGATTCACTTAATATTTTCAAACTCAAAATTCTATGTTTCTGTAATTTCTTCTTTCACTTGGTCAAAATTATATATTATCAGTAAAATCATTTTGCTATATTTATTTTCTAATCTTTAGATTCCTACACACATATGGAAATAGAGAGAAGAAAGGTCTAAACACAAAGACATGCATTCATCTTTGCCCTTAACTTCTTTTATGTTCACACCTTACTTCTGGTTAAGTGTAACTTTCATACAGAGATAGAATTACCTGAATTGAGTTGGAAATGTATGTCTGTGTATGTACACACACACACACACATTCATTTTCAAGTATCCTCCCTCCCAATGATTAAATATCCATACTTTATTCTTTTATTGTCTTTGCTTTTCCACACTCATCCCCAATTCACTCCATAAAGCAATTCTCCCTTCTAAACTTTCTTCTTTCTCTCTTTATATCTGAGGAATATCCTTAATCTAACATTTCCATTCCTTCTTATCTGTAAACATTTTTTTTTTAAATTTAGCAACATTTTTCTCCAATACTTCATGTACTGCCTTTAATTTACCCGCACTATTGACTCTAGATGTTAACCTTGACCTATCCCTAGTTTCCTGTTCTCTCTTGAATAGCTTTTTGTACTTTATTTTCTATCTTTCATCCTTCTATTAACATGCCCCGTGGCTGTTGCTCCATGAAAGGAGTGCAGTTTGCTTCTCCACGTGCAGAAGCAATTTTCTATAGAATATATTTATAGTCTCTCCACCACTCAGCTTTGAGAAAGAGCTGTTACTACAACAAGTGCCACGATGACATAATATAGCATCCTTCCACCCTTACGTTAATTAGCTTTCACTCCCTGACTCTCCCTGCCCCACCTAGAGGAAAATTTTGAAGTATTTCCAGTACAAGAAAGATTTTTGTTTAAATCTGCACATTTGTTGATAATTCTACCGCTTTCAAACTTGTATTTTCATGTTGTTTCTATTCAGATGTACTTTTTCATACACAGCCATCAAGTTCTCATAGCGGCTCTTTTGGGCAGAGTAGAACTGCGCCATAGAGTTTCCAATGTTGTAAATCTTTCCAGAAGCCGACTGCCTTATCTGTCTCCTCGCTGAGCAGCTGGTGGATTCGAACCGCCAACTTTGGGTTAGCAGTTAAATGCTTTAACCGCCACTCCACCAGTGCTCCAGATGTGGGAGAGCGTAAAGAGCTGCTGACGTGTGGGATCAGACTAGGGAGTGGCGTCCGGAAGAACAGAGACTCAACCCAGGGGGCCAAACCCTCAGTCTCCAGGGTCAATTTTCCTTGGAGTTCCTGATGTCCTAGTAGCACCCAGGTTTTCAGTCTTTGGCTTCTAGCTACCTCTGCTTTCCAGTCTAAGGATACTTCATTTGAAGAGTAGGCCACAATTTTTAGACACTTCATATATTATCTCATTTGTTTTCCTTCTAAATCCTAAAGCCAGGACAGGCTCCTCCTTTTAATCCTGTTTTATTGCTAAGAAAAATGCAGGCCCACTGATTCACTGTCAGGACGAGAAATCCTCCAGGCTGGGCTACCTTTCCCATATTCACACACAAAATGTAGCAGGAGGCAGCGCTCATCAGGCAGCACACTGCCTTTGTTTTCATTAATCGCGCACACCAGGCCTTTATTAAGTGTTTGCAAAATGCCACAATGCTATACAAATGTAGAACATGGCTTTTCCTGGCTCTAATTTGTTCCTTCGCTCTCATTTCCTGTTTCTCGGCCTCTCCCTTGTTTCTCTTCCCTCCTCACTTCATGCCACATTACTGAAAAAATTTCTCTCTTAACCTAAACTTCCCTTTCCCAGCGTTCTCACAGGGCCTCGCCGCCTACGGGGTGCCGGTCCCAGCGGCAGTTTCTCTCGGAGAAGCAATGTGCAGGGGTGCCAGTCAGCCGGGCCAGGGAGCTACCGTGCGCTCACCTTCGTTAGCAAGAAAGTGGCACAAGCAATTTCGAACAATCAATGACTGCCCCGCCTCGCCCAGCCCCACTACCCCACCCCGCCTGTCCGCTTCCGCCCGTCTCCCCCCAACCATCCCCGCTGTCCTGACCCCGAGCCCTCAGAGCCGCCGCGGGAACGACCAGGGCCCCGCCGGCTGCCTCCTCCTCCTCCAACCCCAGATCCCGCGGATCCGCTCCCCCGGGCGCGGAGGCGGGGCGGGCGGGGACGCAGGGGAAGGCGTCAAGGACTCCTCTCTGGGACGCAGGGTTAGAGGACTGGACTCCCTTCCCCCGACACTCCGGCGCGGACCCAGACTCTCCCACCCCTCATGGAGGGGTTCTGCCCTTCCTGCAAGTTCGCTGGATTTCCTAAATAACTGTCTCGGGGAAGTGTCCCTTTTCTCAGTGTTCCGAAGCAAAGCAAGAGTCCCCGCCTCGCCCCCATTCATCCCACCTAGGTGAAACGCGAGGAGGGGGCTATGCCTGGGCGCCCAGACTCCTGTCCCCTTCACACTAGCAAAGTGCATCGCTTCCAAACCCAAACAAAGATTCCCCTTCCTCCCTAGCCCAGGCTTCCGCCGGCCCCACCCCTGCTAAGAGGGCGCTGCCCAGCAGCCAGCTTGGGATGCCCCTGCACAGAACCCATTGTTGCAATGCGCGGGCGATGCCCGGCGCCCGGGGGCGGTCCCCGCAAGAAGCTGCGTCGCCAACCCCGCAGCCTCGCCCGGCCGCTGAGCCGGCTCCGCCCACACCTTTCGAAGTTAGCTCGCTGGCAAGCCGCAGGGACTGGTTGGGTTCTGGGCCCCCTCCCCGCACGCCCCGACCCGGACCAGAGCGGGGAGGGGGATGGAGGTGCAGGGAGAGGCGGCTCTGGGCTTTATTTATCTCCGAATTCTTTTAATATTGCTGTCTTGCGCGCTCTAACACAAAAGAGGGGACTTTTTCCCCGGCTCAGCGCAAGTCCTAGCTTTGCGAGTTGAAATCTGGGGGTTCCTTTCACCGCGAGGCACCGCTGGCCCCCTTCACCCAGTGGCTCACAAAGCTCGGTTGGCCATGTGTACATTATTTTTGGTGCTGCAGCAAGGTGGTGCAGGTGAAAGGGAAGCGCGGGGAGAAAGGAGGCCAGGGGAGGCGGGAGCAGGGGTGGGGCGGGGTGGGGCGGGGTGGAGGCTCAGCGGACCAACCCCCCAGCCCGGCGGCCCGGGCGGCGAGACGAGGGCTGGGCAGTGGGTGTTGCCTTCTACCTCTGCGAGCGGGGAGGGGTTAGTTTCCCACAGGGGATTTCAACCATCATACTCAGAGCCCGCCTCCTAATCCTCCGGCGGAGCGGCTTGGGGTCTTTGCCCCATTTTATGGCAATAAAGCGACTTAACGCCTGCTGAGCGAGCCCCTCCCCACTGCCGCCCCCGCCCTCGGCCCCACCCCGGGGCTCGCCCGCAGCGGCGGGGCTTTGTTTCTGGGGAGGAAGACCTGGAGGTCTTTTGTTTGGGGGTTTGGTGTTTTCACCCCCCCACCCACCCTACTCCTCGCGCCTCTTCGGTTTCTCGAGCTCTGTGCAGAAAAGGAGGAGAAGCGGCGTCTTGCAACCCCCTCGGCTGGGCCCCGGGGTAATTCGATGCGGGCCTGGCGAGGCTCCCCACGCTAGACCCGGGCTCGCGTCTCGGCAGCCTCCACCCACCGGCCCACCCTACATTTAGCGCATCATGTGATCCGGGTAAGTCATTTGCAAGTACAACAGTTCCCTGGGTTGCCCCCCATTCATTTCCTGAGAACTGCAGAGAGCAGCTGAGAGGCTCTGTCTGTGCGTGTGCGAGTGTGCGTGTGAGTGTGCGCGTTTGACGCCGTGTGTGTGTGTGTGTGAGAGAGAGAGAGAGAGAGAGAGGGAGAGAGGGAGAGAGAGAGAGAGAGAAAGGGAGAGAGGGGGACTCTGTGTAAGGGAAAGAAAACAATTTCTCCTGCTCTGCAGCTTCTGTTCAGGTCTGTGCCGATTCCGTTTCTTATCAAAATAAACAATCCACTCCTTTTTTTTTTTGCCATCCCAAATCAGACCGTATTCTCTTAACATGTTTTATTTTCCTTCTGTCATCTACTCAAGTTAAATCATTTTGGTTTTGGTGTTCTTAAAAAGGGGAAAGTGTTGGGAAGCGGGAGGGAGCCGGAGGAGGGCGATGCTATTGCAAAGCTAGTAGCGTTGGTCGGATTCATGGAGAATAAAGAGGAGGTTTCTTCCCCCCCCTCCCGTATTTTTTTTTTTTAAGAACTTATCAAGTAATGTGTATTAAGCAAAATTTTTTTCTACCCCGAGTGGAATTGTTGGTTGCAATGTTTGTCTGACACTTGGCAAGGATGAGAAATAAAACACCAGGGCTGAATTGGGGGATCTTGTTGAAGTAGTTTGCCCCCAGCAATGTAGAGGCTTGGAAGAATAGCTGCTATACTAGGGCTGTGGGCTGTGGGTGTGCGCTGGAGAGAGTGGAGAAGAAGGGGTTAAGGCGGAGATGACACTGCTGGCATGAATAGTGGTCGTGGTGCTACATTCATTATTGTCTCTGGTCGTAATGATGTGTAACTGTCACTTGCCAAAGTGCCTGGTCCATTGAAGTAGCCAAGGGCTGGCCCATGGCTGTTATTTTCAATTACGGGGGACCTGGCCGGAGTTGACAAGGGGCAACTTTACACGTCCACCCCAGCTGGGGAGCCCGCGGAGCCGAATTGGAAGCCACTTCTTGTCTTAGAAGCTCGCTCCGTGGACTCGGACTTGACCTCCACGACATTAGTTGGTGTTCCATGCTCCCCTACGGGGGAATCAATCTTGTTTTTGTTGGGTAGAGAACTGCCTGTTAGAACTTTGAAAACTTTTATCTTTGGGAAAGGGTGGGGTGCACTCAACAGTTCGGTTTCGCAGTGCATTTCAGGCAAAAGCTTGAAAAAAGTACCAATTCCTTTGTTATATGCCCTGCAGCTTCCCAACCCCCTTCACCCTGAGCTTCGAGTTTTGCATACTTTAATAGTAATAGCCTTAATTCGCCTGATAAAAGCAGACGGTGTGGCGGTAAGGAGTATTAGTACAACGGAATGTGTAATCTGGATAAACAGTTTGTGTGGTTAATATTGTCAGCTCTCTAATTTAAATGTACAGATAGATTAAGTATGGTTCTATATGAATTGTTTTAACAGTTCCACTGGCTAACAGTATTCCCGTCCAAGCTGTTGGATGTTATTTTAAATCATCTTTAAAATTTTCCCACTTTCCCTGTAACACCAACTCTATTTACATTTAGTGCATGTGCATCTAGACATCTTGGGTAGACATCTGCCAATCAAACACACGTCATTATGTAAATCCACCTAGAGGACTCCAGTTTTCTTTTCTTACTGGAGAGTAGTGTTGTTTAGCTTAAGTAAGTGCTTTGAAATAAATTTGGTGGCTTTTAGCAGACAGCAGCTTGTGATAGGAATAGGAGTGGTCACTTTGAAGAGTGGGTATATACCAACTAAGAAATGCACTTTAGAATTGGCGATCAATAAAAATAGTGATCTGCCCCGCCCCCCCAAAAAAGCTTGGTTGTGTTTCTTGTAGACTTCATTCACATGTTATTTACATTTTTTAAAACCACATAGAAATTGGCTTCTGATAAAGAAGTATATTTTTAGACTAGAAAATCTAAGCATAGAAACTTAGTAGAAATGGGATGTTGAAGGACAAACATTTCAGTTGCATAAGTTGTATCTTAATTGCTGCAGCCTGGTCAGTCTTGGGGCTAGAATGACTATGTTAAGCTCCTTATGAGTTGGGAATGTATCAATTTAAGCATACAAGAATTGGCAGAAATTTGTAATGTGTTGAAGAAAGATGTTTATTATTGTACTTTTTAATTCAGATCTATTATGAAATATACTTAAACTGCAATGTTTCCACATAAAATTGTCATAATTTATGAGCTCAAACTGTAGGATTAACATAGTTATGTCACGTAAACAAGCATTCTTGAAGGGTTTCTGTTTGTTTTTGAAGTGCTTCATTTATTTATTCCTATTTAGTAATGCATATTTAAAAGAAACTTCACTGAGCTAAACTTTACTTTGGAAAGCTTTATGTTACTATCTACTGAATGAAAATTGTCTGATGAGCCTTTAATCACTTTTTTCCCAAAAAAGTTCCTTTCCAAGAAATGAATGCCCATTGGTTGAAAACTGGTCATGGTATATAGCATTTGAGACCTTGACCTTAGCAACTCTTGGCTGGTGGTTGTTTACTCCAGCTGCAGCCTATGTGTGTACTGAAGGGAAGGGGCTCCAAACACTGAAACTTATGCTTCTCAGGCCAAGGAAAAAACATGTCATGATGCTGGATGTTCATTCCAAAGAGCAAGCATCAGGCACATAATATTGATAGATTTCTGGTCAGTAAAAAAAAAAAAAAGAAGAAGAAGAATATACATAGCTCTATATCTATATTTATATATATATAGCCCTCAGGGATTTCTATCCAGTCCCTTGTGAAAGGCAAGCATGTACTTTACAGCCTCAGAGTGAGTTTTAGATACGCTATTAGGGAGCTCTGGTAGCATAGTGGCTAAGACACTTGCCTGCTAACCAGACGGCTGGCGGTTCAAACCCACCAGCCACTCCTCGGAAGGAAGGTTGGGCAATCCTACTTCCGTAGTGATACTGCCTCGGAAACCCAAGGAGGGGTCGCTATGAGTCGGGGTCGACTCGACGGCACATAACAACAACAACAACAACATTATGAAGCAGGCTGTTATCAACTTAATGAAATAATTTGGTCTTAAATATAGGTGTGTTTTCTCTCAGCCAAGACAACATAAGTGCTTAGGCTACTAGGCATATACTGAGGGCATTTTGAATTCAAGCCAGTGTTAGTTATTCTAGAGTACTGAGTAACCTTACCCAGTGAGGTGATGTTGTTAAATAGGTGAACACAAAGTGGTCCTGGACATTTTCTCATTGTACATGTTGGAAACCATGGAAAGTCATCATTTTGTGAATTACATAACATTAGAATAATCCTATTAAATTGAGCTTTTTTTTTTTTTTTCCCTTAGACTGTGAGAAAAAACAGTTCCTGTTGCATAAAACTGGTAGATATTTTGCATATTAACACAAGACATTTATGTACGAAACTAGAATGGCACAAAATTCTTTCACAAGTTGTTCTTTTTTTTTTTGAATATGTAAGTTTCCCTACTTGCTCTTCTATGTTGATTAAGGAGCAGAGCTGAAATCCCTTAACAGTCTTGTTCAGAACTGACACCATGATTACTTTTTCTTTCAGAAAATAATTTCATTTTTGAAAATCATTTCTAAAATGGGTTACAGTTGCTTACCTCTTATTTACATTTTGAAAATGCAATGATAATAGAATGGAAATATCTGTATTTTTGCCCAGAATATTATTGACCAATATTTATTTTCATTTTCTTTTTAAAAATTCAAATGCATTTCTCTTTCAGCCTACAAATTATGCACAGCTTTCAGCCTTAGGTATGTACAAAATCTAAGGGTAAAAATATTAAAATGAAATCACTGGTTAACGCCCTGTAACCACGGCCTTAACTCATCTGCCACAAGTACCCCTTCTGAAAGCAAAATGCTAGTAAACAGATGGGCCTTTCCCTGCACCCAGAAGGTCAACAGCCTTAGGCTCTGTCAGACCTGCTTGGTTTTTGATCCCAAGCCTGCTCTGAGAGCTGGCTGACTTCAGCTCACCAGAATTCATTCTCAGGGCCTGGACCGGCCACACCCCTCTGACGTCAGCTGTTGAGTTCTTGTGGTAGAGAACACATGCTGTGGATTAAATGGTTACTTTCTCTATATATTCTCAGTAATTATGTTACAAAAGGATTTTTCGGTTTGGGTGTTTATTGTCACAAAAGTGGCTACTTGAGTAGTCATATTGCTCCATAAAAATTTGTTTTGGTCTGGCAGGAGATTATAGGCAATTGGCTCAAAGAATTTTGCTTTGGTAAGGTCTTCCTGTTTTTTCTGTTTTTAACTTAAAGTCATTTTTTCTTTTTTTTCTCTATCATTGCTGATTTCATGGTATGTATTTTTGGGTATTTTTAAATATAATAATTGGACTAGTCCAAACAGTATTGCTGTCTAAGTACAGAGGGAGTAGCAGAAAACCCTTGTTGCTGTAATGCTGCATGGAAGAAGAGAAGGAAAACATTTAAACTTGGGGGGAGTCTTCTCATTCTCACCAGGAGCACTGGTGGCATTGTGGTTAAAGCATTCGGCTGTAAACCAAAGGGTCAGTGGTTCGAACCTACCAGCCACTCCATGGGAGACATATGAGGTAGTCTGCTTCAGTAAAGATTTACAGCCTTGGAAACTCTGTGGGGCAGTTCTACAATGTCCTATAGGATCACTGTGAGTCAGAAGTGACAAATGGCAGTGGGTAGATCCCATACTCATCAGAGGCTGATTCTGCCAGTATCACTACTTGCTCACTATGACAGCCAGGGATTCTCTTCCAGGAGCAACATTTACCATGGTTATCAGTATATATAAGGAGCTCTGGTGGTGTAGTGCCTAAAGCATTTGACTG